AAATTTATTTATGTGCTGAGTGTAGTAAAAATTAAATTAATTAATTAAATATAAAAGAATACATCAAAATACTAAAATAATAAAACCCTAAAAAGACAGATATGCAGCAAGGGAACGGCTGCAGCGCCTATGATGATGGTTCATTGCTTGCTGCTGCTGCTGCTGCTGCTGCTGCTGCTGCTGCTGCTGCTATTGCTGCGGGTTAGGTGACTGTTGCATCCATTTGCATTAATTTAAATTAATTTGTGTGTTTGTTTGTCTTTTTTCTTTTTATTTAAATCGGTGCTGGCTGCCAGCCTCCTATATAATTAGAAGGGTTGGTAGCAGCACGGGAACAGCAGCAGCAGCAGCAGCAGCAGCAGGAGCAGCAGCAGCAGGGGTTGAATTTGTCTTGGTTTTTTTTCTTGTTTTTTTCTTTCTTCTTTTTCTTGTAATTGCAGCACATCTGTGCACTCTGTTTATAAACTAATACGCGACGATGGCTTCAGCAGGGGGGTCCTCTCTTCTTTTATCCCTCCTACCACTGATATTTTTATATCTTTTGCAAGCTCATGTGTCAGGGCGTCCTAACGGTCCTCCAACAGGTTTACGTGAGCGTCTAAGCACTATATTAAACCCCTCACCTCCTCCTTCTTCTGCAGCAGCAGCAGCAGCAGCAGCACAAGCACAAGCACAAGCTCAAGCTCAAGCTCAAGCACAAGCAGCAGCTGCAGCACAAGCACAAGCACAAGCAGCAGCAGCAGCTGCAGCAGCACAAGGAGCAGCAGCAGGAGGAGGCCCTCCAGCAGCAGCACCTGGTAGAGAAGGATCTCGAGGAGGCTCTGCAAGAGCGCGGTCAACCTGGGGTGTAAGTGCTGCAGGAGATGGTTCTTTAGCTTTAGGCAATCCTTCGACCCCTTCAAACGGAGATTTGCTGCTTCAATATTTAGAGAAGAGAGCAAGTGCAAACAGCAAGACCCCTCAAGAGTTTGTTGCTGCAGTTATGTCTAAGAAAGGCGGTGCAGCACTTCCACCTACACCCCTAGCATTCAGCCTACCTCCTCCTCCAGCAGTAGCAGCAGCACCAGCAGCAGTAAGAGAAGCAATACCTGAAGAAGATAGCGGTTTAGTTGAAGTAATGGACTCTGAAGCTTGTGCTCAAGTACCTGTTGCATCTCCTTATGATTGTATAAGAAGAGAATTAAAGCAGACACCGTATTCATGCAGCTTAGAGTTTTATCCTGAGGTTTGTAATCTTGCTCGACGACCGATGGAGACAAAGAGACCTAAGGATGTAGAGAGATCTGTCCCTTATCAATGCCCTAAGCTTCGTAATAAACAAATGTGTTATAGTTCTCCGAAGGTAGAGCAAACAACTTGTGTAGGAGTCGTAAGTAAAGCTAAAGAAACAGAGTGTCAACGAAATCATGTACAAAAGTCTTGTACAATCGTAGAAGAAACAATACCCTGGAGTTGTTACGAGACAAAAGAAGTCGAGTTAGAATATGCATGCAAGAAGGTTGAGCCTACAACAGAATGCTCTCCTAATCTAATTGCTGTAGATGATGTATGTACAAGAGAAACTAAAGTACCTGTTGTTTACGAGTATTATGATGTAGAGCCTGAAGAACAATGCGAGACAATCCAAAAGAAAAACATGTGTACTCGAGCTGTACGTACAGTCGATTTATACTCGTGCCCCGAAACATACCTTGAAAAGGTCTGTTTTGCTGTTGATAAACCCGTAGCTAGACTTTGTGAAGAACCTGCTTCTATAATTGAGGAGTATCCTTGTGAGAAAACAGAGACACGTATTGTTAAGAAAGCATGCGGCTCACGTAAATTCTTAAGAGTTGAAGTTGAGGGGCAGCAAGACTCTGATCTTAATTTTAATTCGCAGCAAAGAAGAAAGCTATGTGACTATGAAACAACTGTACGTACACCCTAATTATACTTGTTCATTTATCTATTTATCTATCTATCTATCTATCTATCTATCTGTCTCCTTTTCTATACATTTGCATAAACATTATTCACCCTACCTCTTATTCAGTCTCCTGTCTCCTTCTCTCTTCTTTTTTGTTTTTTGTTTTATTTATTTGTTTTGTTTTTTGAGCTGTCTCCTCATGTGTCTCCTTTCTTCTGTCTCCTTCTTCGTTCTTCTGTCTCTTTTGCTTTTCTTCGCTTTGTTTGTCTCCTCTCTTGTCTTTGTTTGTCTGTCTCTTTGCTACTGTCTCCTTCTCCTGTGTGTTTGTTTGTTTATGTGTATGTCTAGCAGTTTATATTTATATCTATATATATATATATTTA